CAGAACAGTCAGAATGTTTGGCGACAGACGAGAAGTTAAAACAATGCCAAAAGGAATTGGACACAACAGCAATCGCCAACACATTGACGAACCAACATTAGCAGTCCAGCAAAAAATGTAGCTGGCCAACGCAAAGCACTTCACAGAACTCAGACCAATGAGAATTCATCTGGGTATCAAGCGAGCTAAATGATTCTGAGCGTTTAGTGGAAGAAGATCCTGCCCACGGAATTCACGAGTCTCATCATGATGCTTGGATGCCTGAGCGCTTTTTATGGTCAAAGACTAGTCCGCCATAGTGTGAGTACAGACGCAGAGACTTGGCACTGCAGTCACTTCCCACAACAAAGTTGACGTGACCTTAACCTGAGAATCATTGTAAAATGTAAAGATATGTTTCTGGTGAAATAGCATCTGTGTTCAACTTTCCGCACATCAGTCTGAACCAACCAGGGCAACCAGTAAACGATACCGTAACGTCTACAGAAAGAGCTAAGTGGTGGTGCGAACGTTTCTAACTTAGGTAGCTAAAAGGCGCACGGTTCAAGTCGTTTATATTGATGAATTGACATTCCTAGACGAAGCGGACAACAGAACCCGTTTAAGGAACTAGACAACAGCTACCAGAAAATTCCTAATGCTCAAGATATCTGTGAACTGCCAGTGAAAAGGCTATTTCCATTAGAATAGGAGCAACAGCCAACTAAGTGCCGGGGCAATTTACGGGTCTTACCCTAACCATGTTTACCTCGCACACTCAAAATGCCCACCTGCTAAGTTTTGATAATTCGAGCAACGTTACTCTCTACCCTTTTGTCCTTCCCGTGACCGTGTTTGTCAGAAGCGCCATAAAATATATGACGGGGAATCGCAGTTTAGACACCAATTATCAAATCAGTGCTTAAGGTATCAGTGCAATCTCTTCATTGCCCAAAAACTGGCGAACATTGGGCGAGCCACAGCAGCAATCGAAAGTATTCGTGCTGAACTTCAACTGGGTACGGTAGCTGAAATAAGAGTCATTACTTGCCTTTGTGGAAACAACCACACAAATCAGCAACTCGAATTTTGTTGAATTCAACCAGTGGCTCGGTCTCTTTTTCCGGTGAGTTGAAATTCCACCTCAGTGTCCCCACTCACTCGGAATCAATTAGATTTGATCGACCGCACGTCGCTTCGCGACAGAATGCTGCTCTTATTTATCATTTATCATTTATTTTTGAAGAGCATGGTCACAAACATAAAACGTGAATGCCAACGATGAATGCGAAAGAGTAACAGGAGAATATGGGAGAAAAGAGAGAAACGTCTCATTCGAAATCATGCCAAGGACAGTGCCAGTCTGATGAGGTGAATCCCAAAGTATGTAAAGATTTTGGTATGGGAACACGCGTCTAAGGACCAACAACCAAAGAAAGGACAAACAATGGTGAATGCTCTTCAAGGCGCAGTGTGCGCTAGCACAGTCAAGACTCGCACATCAGGCACAAAGTGACCGTCATACTGGGTCTGGTGTGAGATTAAATGGCAAAAATGTACCTTCAACGCCATGTGCCACGCATAAAAGTGTCATAAGTACGCAGGGAGCCCACAATGGCAAGCAAACACAAGTCACTGACTGCGACCTTAGGAAGTCCCAGTCCAATAACAGCCTTAGCGGATTGAGGAAAGCAGATCCCTCGATAAGAGATGATCATCGGTTGGTGAACCAAAAAGTCGATATCACAACCGATGGCATGTAGGGCTGAGATTATGGCGAGGGAATGTTCATCAGCACCATACTTCTGCTTCTTCTCATTCCACACTATCTCTCCACGCCCATCCGAGACTATGCTAACGTCTATTACGGTTGCACGGCGATCTCGAACAGCGATTAGGTCAGGTTTGATGAACGACGTAGAAGTAGGGGTTCTCAACTCCTCGAAGACGGTGTACCCCAGTCGACGGAGACGTTTTGCAAGTTCCCTTGCAACCCGATTATGACGAGCACACCTGGCATCATGCGTAATCCAGCAGGATTGCAAAATATGCACCAAACTCTCCGGTTGGCCACAGTTTCCACGACATAAGATCGTCTGGCCACCATGACCATGCCGAGCGCTTCTAAACTTTAGACACTCTACCTGTAGACTTACCACATTTCTTGAATTCCAAGCACAGTAATTGAGATTTCGGTAGATTCACTGGTTAGACGACATCAGCCACAAATAATAATTGAATTTGTAACCGGCAAACAGGTTTGAGTCAGCTCCATTCATAGGGGGAGCTTTTGTACTCAACCTTAGACAGCCGAAACTATACGGTCAAGCGGTTACCTCTTAAGGACTCCCACTGGTCTAGATACCCACAACTCATTATTTGCAGCGTCTACTTACACATTAACTAACTGTATTTCTGGTCCAGTGAATGTTCCTTCCTGTCAACGTCTCACCACACGCTCGTATGTGCCATGAAATGTCCAGATGAGGTCGAAATTGCTGGAGATATACGTTCACAGATCGGGTACATCAGTTCATCAGAAGCACACTCGATGTTGTATCTCTTTCGGAAGCAAAACATACTGATACCGACCAACAGATTTCTCTCAGTCCAGCTGAGCTTAGACGAAATGAGAAACGTTGAACTACTGGGCTTCTTCCTAATGCCGGGGAGCCATATTACAAGGTCGATGACGTCACCATAATCCACCTATGGCTAGGTTCAGTTCTCGACTGCTCATCATTCTAAGGGACACTCGCTGTATATCATATCACACCGTCATCCAGTGTAGTTTTCAATCAACTACCTCATTTATGCATAAGGAACCGGTCCACCATTTGGCAGTAGAGAGAAATTTCTCATTGACACGTTAATAAAACTCATCGAAGCTGACTATGCACTGTTTTGCCAGTGGTTAATTCTCACTGTTAAGAAACACACCTAGGCAAGACGCCGGAAATTTTGTTTCCGGTTGTTCCTAGCGCGCATAAATAAGCGCTGACTTTCAAAACGGTCAATGATACCCCTTTTTCGACGGTCAGAACAGAATTCGGTTGAACGAATTCAGTTTAAACGAAGACACAGAGGCGGGGTAGAAGTCGAAGGATCAGGAGTTGGAAAAAATGCTCCAAGTTTTTTCAGATATTCCGCAAAACCGAGTCAATGAAGCGTCCTTTAAAAAGCTAATCGGAAATTATGCATGAAATTTAATATATGATGAAAATTAGACTTCAGATCACTTGACAGACTATTTCCAAGATAAGTGTGGTTGGCTTGTGCCTTCGCTTTTGCCAAACTCCGACACCTATCGCACCGACATGACGTCAGTTTGTCTTTCAATGGAAGGGTTTGCACTGCGGCGGTATGGTCCATAATGCTTTATGAACCAGAGACGTGGCCTCTGCGTACAAAAACATAAGAAAGATGCCAGTGTTTTATGATCATTTTCCCAAAAGCGTTGGTCAGGTCTGGTGGGAGCATCGGATTAGTATTGCTGAGGTGCTCCAAATGGTCTTAGGAAGGAAGAACTTATGATCATTGCCCAAAAGCGTTGGTCAGGTCTGGTGGGAGCATCGGATTAGTATTGCTGAGGTGCTCCAAATGGTCTTAGGAAGGAAGAACTCTTCCACGATGAATGAATTACTCAGGCATCATAGAGTGCGCTTATTAGGACATGTATATCGCATGCCAGAGGACCACCTCCTCCGCAGAGCTCATTTCGTCCAGCCCTGTGCTGAGTGGAAGCGACCGTGAGGTGGACAGTGTATGGCCTGGAAACGAAGTATGGAAACACTAACCCGTAAACTTAGACGGTTTGATAACTGCCGCCTACTCGGATGGGGACCCCAGGACTCACCTCACCAATGGCTACTGACGCTGGCCAAAAAGGTCCAATGAGGCATTCACTGGCGCTCATTTATGAAAGCTATCGCCTTCAATGCGTAGCTACCCGATTTCTGAGCAAAATGAACATGTCATCGCCTCCAATGCTTACCTGCATGTCTCAAATTGTTCCGTTTTCCGGTGATCGAAACTGTAGCGGCCGGATCCAATGTACCTATGGTACACGGCTTATAGCTGATAAACTGATCGATTGATTGACTTATACGTTTCACCTGTTCTGCCCAGTCAGAGGCGTGGTCCGACAGTTTAGCTCACTCTTCAGGTTGTGAAGTATAAGTATGCTTTTCTGCTTTTAAACACCATCAGGATGTCAGGTCAAATGAGCTTTCATTAGCACCATTCTAAGATGCATGGGATCTTGGGTTTATGAGGGTCATTTTTACCTCCCACCTGCAACTAGCCGACCGACTGTTAACCGGACCTTTTCGAAAAAAATTGCTGACTCGTTGTTTACAAACATATTGAACTTGCTAGGAAAATAAAACGTCACCGACTGTCTACACCTGACTGATAGGGTCATGGTGAGGCGGCACATGTAACTTTAGTAAAGACCAATCCAGAAGGATATTGCTCATCTCCTCACTTCTTTGGTTCTCCGTGTTCGGTTATAGAAATCTCACACTGTTGACAAGAGCTGTCCCACCGCTTACTTCTCAGTCTTATCTTTCCTGGTCTAAGTCGAATAAAGTGCGTTCAGATGGTTGCACAAAAATATCAGCTTGCAGTCTATGTGGCAGTAAATAGCCCTCAATGAGACCCTTTGGCGCGGGGTAAGATCGGTGTATCAGAAAGCGGAAAACAGCGCACTGACATTCACCCACCCAATGGTCAAGCATCGCTTCAGAAGAGACACGTTAGTAGCCTTTAAAGGTGTTTCCTCTGCTAGGGTGGTGAGACACACGAGATCCGAGACCTAAACCACAGTGCATCACACTAACTAAGCAGGGAACGATTAAGCGCGCTTAAGCAAAGTGACTGAACAGTTTAGTCATTTTTCAGGCTCTTCTCTCACCGATACTTTTATTACAAGGACTGATCGCATTGTCAAGTCAGCAGAATCCCACCAGCAACCATAAAATTATACCTATCCAACGAGGCATACAGAAAAACTGACTTACCTGGAAATACAAACCATCATTACTCGCGGATTTACGTCGCAGCCATCGTATGCATTCGGATATATGGCAGTTTAAACTGACCAGTTCGCTCTTTATCATGTGGGTCAGATTGTTTATGGATGCGACGACATCATTCGTTCTCTGAGAACGGAAAAATGGTAGAACATACACAAATCAGAGCAACGAATGAGAACAACGAAACCGGTGTCACCTGAAAAGCCATAAAAACAATACCCCTATCCGTTTCAGAGTGAAAGTGAGAGAATCTCGCACCAGGTTTTCATTTTCATGCATCCAGTTGTCTTTATGAATTTCAGGAGAGCAGGGAGAGGGATTTATCTCACCTATCTTATCAGCTATTTACATACATTCAGATTCGAAGTAATGTGGAACCGCATATGGGTGATTTGACAGAGAGGGGCCGATGAAAACCTCACACGAAGCAGTGTCATCAGGCCCCGATCAAGTTGGATAAAATTACTTTGGCCATGGCTCCCTGACAGCCTGGTGAACGCGAGGCGAAACTAGCCGCAAATTTCAGTTAGCTTTGTAACTTCGAATTGCCACCGCTTCAGGGAAGTGTTTGTGACTGAATAACTGTTCTGGTCGTTGGCATCCACTGCAGTCCAACAGTAGCGGATGATTGCACAGGATGAGAGTTTCAAACTATTAGATCACCGTTCAACGTACAAGCGGTCCGGTTTGTCCAGATAGGTTTCTTTTAGCTCCAGTCGTAATTCGCAATATTGAGTTCGCGGCGTTAATTTTTCTTGTGAGAGTTTCGCCCAATCACCACCACATCCTCAAACATTCTGATTTCTAATGAACCGTAATGTGATGAAAACCATTCCAGAGTCACCACTATATCTTCTCTGTCCTTGTTTAACAGTCATTCCCCACTTCTGGATGAACCTTCAGGGCTAGCCGTAGTACAGCTAGTAGTACGGCTGATATCACCTCATTGTTTTTGTTGGTATCTCATCATAGCTCATCATGCTAAAAAAAAGCTGAACTTTACATCCAACTTTCTGGACCAAATCTTTTGAACTTTGAGCATTTTCCTGTCCGGGTTGTCTTACGAAACGTCCAGTATAACGAAGTACCATCAGCATAGTGACACTAGGCATTCGCTTCTCATATGGACCGAGGTAATTTTTCAGTCTGCAGGTGACCCACCAAGATAACAATTAAAACTGGTCCGAATGGGTTTCCCATTGCCATGTCATCCATATTTCCGATTCTGTTCGTTCTGCTTACCAGATTTCCGCAAGACAGCTCGACTAAGTACCGTGAGTTATCTCTATCATCTTCATACTAGCAAAGTTGTCTACGTATAAGAACTTAGCCATTCGAATAGCCGATCAGAGCAAATCGTGAGTGATGACAGTGCTGAACGGACAAATCATCAAACTTTTGCCCATATTTATCAATTTGTTAAGTCAGCTCTCTTGTAGAGAAGTAACTGTGTCCTAAGTGGTGGTGAACAAAACATGGTATGCATTGATTCCTGTGTCAGTTCGACAGCATTGTTGATGGCAGATCTGGTTCTGTGAGCTATGTTCACGCGAATCTGTTATCAACCGCAAAATGGAATACTCATCAGATTAGTCGTCGGAAAACGGCTTTCTGAAGAAGCGCTCCTCCCGTTGACTCTGCTCATACAATTCACGCTTCGCTTATTCCTTAGTAGATGCAGAATGTCACTAAACTTGACTTTTCATTCGTTTAGTTGAACAAAGCGACTGAAGTCACTTTGGTTTTGAGTGGCATTCATCTAGTTTCCCCTCCCAAAATGGTGGGACCCGGTCCCTTACATTTCAAAGTACAGGCTATGAAAGCAGCTTTGAAGAACCTGCAGACCAAAACTGTTGGACAAGGGGAATTTTTCGCTCCACGTAAGTGCCCTGCCATTTGGGTGAATGATCGCGAAGTTCTAACGAACTTAGACTCACTTGGTGCGCTTCGTTCGGTCTCACAGAAGCATCATTCACCAAAAACCGGAGTCTACTGACAGTCACTCTTGCAAGTGTTGTGGTGGATTCACAAGGTTTATATATGTGTGTAGTGTACTTGAGGTTGTACCATATTCTGTTTTTTAGGGGTTTCGAGCCCTTTGTCATTGGCAATGTTTTGGAATATTGGTAGCTCGGGTGTATTGGTTGGTAATTGATCAGGTGGCTGTTGATCTGTTCGCCGAGCTTGGCAATTGATTTGCAAACGTTTCGTCACCATTCGAGGAGACATCTTCAGCGCACTGCTAAGTGGAGACTCTGTTCTTGAGATAAAAGTAGTTGTCGATCCTGCGGCTAATGTTATCCGCATAGTACACGAACATACCAAAAGTAGAGGATTAGCTCTAATTTAAGGAAATTCATTTCAGCGGTGGAATTAACTACGGTGCTCGTTGGAGCTACATCAATATCAGTGCTGGATCTGAGGTTGGCAGATATGCTGGTAAAAGTGGAAGAGTTTTCAATCTCCGTACATTTCTAGACATTTTTTTCTGTGGTACCCGTTCTCAAATCAGTTGATCCAACCCTTTGTGCTGTTCACATCATCACTTAGGACTCCATTTATCGGATTCCTGGGCTTTACAAATTCTCACACATCATTGAGGCTGACTATCTCTCATAACAGATGAGCACTACAGAACGCACCAACCGTGATCCCCTGTTGCGGGTAATGCATGTTCACAAATGAGTACAAGGTGACTCATTCTCAGGCAACATCCTGTTTGGTTTTGTTTCTCTCCCAGGAGCTTTCACAAATAAGTGATGCCATCGTTGTCGTCAACATTCCAGTGGAAAGTCTAAATAACTTGGAGAGTCAACCAAATGTGGACAAAAATGGCGGTAATTTCCACCCCGTTCATGGGAAGATAGTTCCTTGTCGCTAACGACCAGCAGCTTTCTTGTGAGTCAGTCTTTTTAACCGCCAGTACTGAAAAATAACAAGTGGGTGCGTGTCGAGTTTGCGAAATCAGCGATACTAACTCCTGTTGATCAAGGTCAGCTCTCATGCCAAAAAGAATGATCGTAGTCAGTTGCAGTGGTACTATCTCTTGTTGATCAAGGTCAGCTCTCATGCCAAAAAGAATGATCACTCATACCTTGGTTTCCCAAACCGACAGACATACATTGTGTAAATCCCTTCGCCATTTGAACAATCACTATTCTATCCTGACAGGCTAATTATATGCAGGTAGCCACGTGCCCTAAAGAGTTACTCCGTGGTATCTCCATGACACTCGCAGAGGAAAAACACGATCCCTATGCACGTAACATAAATCTGGGCTAAACGCAAGCGGGAGAGGATAATTAGTGTAAACGAATTAGTGTAACCAAGTACTCACACATCTTGAACGACGGTTCCTGCCGTAAATGGTGTCAAACAACGTTTCTTCCAATTGAAAAAGGGGCTCTGTGATCCGTGAGAAATTCCTAATTTCCTTCCGGAGTTGCAACAGTTTCTATATGGAAAAGTGTATTAGTATCAAAATAGGGGGATAACAATTGTTCTGAGGATGGATGGAAAGGAATGAATTGTTATCGTAACCAAATTCTAATTCAAAAACAGTGGCTTCCAATCCAAATTTGGACGGCTTAGGTGCACTTTAAATGGAAGAAGGCAAGAGCAAGATGTTTCTCAAACGCCGCCCAATCTATGCTCAACAGATCAGAACCAATCATTCCACGGATTATTGACATATCCCGTTTCGATAACAAATCACTGAATAGTATGCATGCATTTAAAACGCTAACATCTCAGCGCGGTTAGTTCGGAGAAACGTCCGTTGTTGGGACTCATGGGTGTTATTTGGAAATGATCCCCAATCTGTACTTAAGAGGCGCACAGCAATGTGGGGACGCATACTTTCGGGTCTGTACTTGCACAGCAATGTGGGGACGCATACTTTCGGACTATCCGACACTTCGTGCCTCGAATATTATGCCCCACGAGTATCAAAGTAACCATACCGAAGATAAAGCAGTGCCTAATGATGAATAAAATAATTTCGTGCCTTAACTTCTGCCTTATTCATTACCAGCTGTTTGTTTCAGATACCGAGTTTTGAAATCATCTCCATCTGTTTCTAATTATGTGATTGGTTACCTATAATCCCCCTGTCACACATCCTCCCAGCCCTAAAGTGTTTTGAGTGTCATCCTCAAGAGGTCTCCTGTATAATTTGTAGAGTTCAACGAGCCAAAGTATTCAGTTCCTCTTCTTGATTTTTCTTGAATTTCAATTTTTTAGTCTGTACATGGAATTGTTCACCAAAGCGTGCTACCACGTAACGACCTCGTCTGGACGTGCTCCACACTACATCTTCCATATGCCAAACACCCCGTATTAAAGTGGAAAAACATTGTCTGACTTACCATGTTGAGGACAAATGTGTCAACAGGTTCGGGTGCTTCAATTTCATAATTAACCCGCAACATTTGGGAGGTCTCCTCAGATAATATCCGTTTGTAGCGCTTAACGCGATTGTACAAGTTAATCGGATCCTAGAAGCAAGTTGATAATGGAAGGATTTCTGGTGAGAGAGAACCCGTACAACTGAGCGTGGCTTATACATTACATGGGAAGTTTGATCGAATAAGGACAGTAAGTTAAAAGCGTTTTTAAGATCCAAAAGCGTCCCGGATGGTAATTTACTTGATCTATATTCCGATGAGATGTCACCAGCATGTGGTTTGCGTTGTTGTAGTCCACGGTAATGCCGAACTTGGCTCACTTTATACTCCCGAGTATGTCTGGAGGTGACGAGAGATGAGTTAAGCACTGCTTCACACAAGCGGTACATGAGAGTAACAGGAAAGCAGCAGCTAAGAGAAGTCCTTTAAAAATGGAGGAAAGTGTGAGCTTTGTAATGTAAGCTTTGCTTTGAGGGTGTTAGACATTGGCAAATAAATGCCGAGCACTGATTAAACAAGTATCTATTTTTGTTTGAATTTGATGTCGGTATTTGAGATTTAGTGCCCACAAGCATTATTTTGGAGCTCTGTCCGGATGGATCTTGCCTTGGCAGCAGTAATCCAAGGAGCTCGTATGGATTCTCGTGACGTGTCCTGACGCCGTCTCCCCTGAAAAGCTTCCATAGGAACGACTCTATTAGAAGAATCGCACAAATCCATGAAGAGGGGAATGTAACTGAAATTGTATAATCCACGGCTTAATCATACTTTGAAGAGTTCATGGATTTCTCTTAGGAAGCGCTTTCCTGTAGAATCACTGTTGGATGTATTCCATGGGTACTGGAATTGATACACACAAAGGCTGGTTGTAAACCACTGCAGATTTTTTTTATCGATCGTTGGATTGCTTTTTGATCCATAGATTACCCGTAAATCTGCTCCTCTGTAAGTCACATCCCCCGTCCACACGGCCATTTTTGAAAACCAAGTAGCAAACAAATGTCTTCTTCTCAGCTGACATAATTATCGCCCAAGGTGTTAAGCGCCGTATGGTTTTTCGTACAAAACGGATTATGCATTCGTTCTGGCGTAAGACATTTCTCCGACTATTTTGACGTATATTTTAGTGCATTGTCAGAGAGCACTCTCAATGTCCTGTCGGTGACATGGCATTCCACTTTTGATTTAGAGGAGCAGGGCCATCCAAAAGAGAACTACTGTCGATTTCAGATTCCCTTCCTGTGCATTGTCCTCTGAAGTGTGCTGCCGGTTCTTTTCTTCTTGTCTGTCAACGTTTAGAAATGTACTTCATTTTGACTGCTTGGCTGCGGTTTCGCCATTCTTCCAGTTAACCGAGTCATTTGGTGAAATGCAACTACGGTGATTTCTTATTTTCCTGCAGTCACACCACGTACAAAACAAACTGGAATCGTCGGCTGATAAAATCTGACGGGAATGGCAGTCAGGATACCAGGGTTGCGTTCGAACCGAAAATTTCCGTCATCAGAGCTGGGCTATTTCGACTTCCGCAGACAAACACTACACAGTTAAGGGGTTCCTAGTATTACAGACATCAACTCTATTAATGTGTCATTTTCCGACAACTTTTCCCCGTTCTTCTTAAACCAGCAAGCCAGGCGTACTTCCATGATGTTTTACGCAGTATGGCATCATCAAACTATTTTTTGGGATTATTCTGAATTAGAAGGTGATGGAAAACTAGTTCGCCCTACCCGCGCGCACGATTCCCAAATTTCCGTTGTGTCAGGAGAACCAGTCACATGGACTGTGGAAAATTAGCCTACTTTAGGTAGGGTTCCTTGTCTAACAAGCCGTCGACTTATTCAAACCTGAATATTCACAGTGCTTCGTCTATGCACCCATTGACCATCGCGGAAGATTTGTGCATTACCATAACGTGATCTTGAAACTACACTGGATTGGTAAATTAAGTGTGGTTCAAACCCAGAAACATTATCCACAGGAGTGAGGAGGTCCGAGTCATTATCCTTTGAATGACAGTAGAAAGACTCCGTCAGCTGATGCAGCAAGTATGTTTGAATTCTTCTGGGTCCCCAGTAGGAAGTCAAAATCCAACGCAAGTTGACAACTTCCTGTTTTCGATGGGAAATCGAAACTCTTTAGAAACTTCATTTTCTCGTCTCCTTGCAAGTTGCAGAGTGTGTGCAAAAACTATCAGGAGCCTTTCTAACCCGCAGGCAAACTGCCTCAACAGTAGTTGATGAAGATAACCAGTACTGGGCTATTTGGGTGGGTGGAAACTGTTGGGCGGTAAACCAGTACTTCGGTAGTTGGTGTTGCTGTCATCAAGTAGTATGACAACTTAGTCAACCGGATGTTGTTTAGAAGTCCGGGCGGGATCACTCTGGATAGAAGTTGACGGCAGATGGGATAAGCTTGCATAGGAATTACACTGGTAGTTTCATGGAGATCTAGTGAGTATTCCGTTGGCCGGTCATGGCTGTTCCATTTGGACGTATTTGCCCGCAAGTTATCCAGGCCAGCATTCTGTGGTTGTACTCGACATTGTACGGCCCCTTCCATTCATGTATGATGTACCTCAAAGCTATCCAAGCTTGTAAAGATGCAATCCCGTTAGATTTTGCGAAAGATTGAAATAGAACTTACGTTCTCTAAGCTTACTTCAGGACTTTCACATAAGCAGAATTTCAACCACCCTCCTGTTCGGCCAGAATTCCCTTGGCCGACCGTAAATGATCCGTTCAGGGATACGGTTAACTGTTTATCTAGAGTACTTGGATGGGGATCAAGAGACATCCCACTCCGCTGATCTTGCCTCATTTTGGAGCTCCTGTGTTCGGAACTCTATCTGACCAATGAATTCAAAGGACCTTCTGCAGATGTTGTAGGTAAACTCTTTCTGGCGTTCTAATGTTCAGTTGGCATATTGTTCATGTTTCTGCGCCACACCGTGGTGACAACAGCTTGTTACACTACCATCGTGTTATCCCCGCAAATATTTTGGATGCAGCGAACGCGCTTTTCTGAACAACCGAGTGTAACTCATGCCTTGGCAACCGGAATATATACTCCAGTAGTGACTGTCAAATCGCCTTACCCGGTTCTGTCGAAGTAGCATTAGCCTTTACAATACGCTTTGCCGCAGCAATTATTGTGGCAAAAGATAGGTAGTTTAAGCTATTAAAGATACTGTATTTCCGCCCATTTCTTTCACTCTGTACCTCAAAGGATTCCTCGTGCCACCATTATTCTGTACAGAGCCGGGTCTGTTGGCCTCATTTACACTCCCTTTTGACTTGTGTTATGGTTTAACTGTCCAGCCTTGGCAAAACAAGGCTCCTCTGAATTAATGGAGCGTCTTGATAAATGCTGTGTTCTTCTTCTCAACTGGCACTGACATCTTGCTTTTTCGGATTCAGCAGCTTTACGATGCTCTTCCAAAGTACGCGGAAACGTCAAAGTGCACATTCTGTGGGCGGAGATTTTTCTGCCCTTCCGTTATGGTGACTGATCTTGGTGTAAAGCCTGGATGAAATTTCCTCCTACAACGGCAAAACCCTGACAGAGTTTAATGTACTTTGGGTCACATTGAGACAGGATCCTTGCGAAGTTCATCACCAATCAACACATTCTCATGACAGTGTTTCTTAATTCTTGTGTCGCTCACTAATAAAATTTAAAAAATATCTGTGTGCACCCCTAGGATTAACCGACCTCAAGTTGGGGTCACGTGCCCAGGAGTAAAACACATGTTGATGATGGTGTTGTTCGAGGCCTCTATATATGAATGTATATTTATTTACTTAATATGAATGAATGGCACTGAATACGGATTTGTCTTTCACCACTGGTTTCACTACCTGTGCATATCTACAAGCCGTTTGACCTTAGATGGATGTACTACTGCGGGTAAATCTGTAAACCAAATGTAAATCCGAATGAATGTTGGAATATATGCTGACATTATATATACATATTTGTATATTGGGAGTTCTAATAAAGGTCAAAGGGACAGATTTGTTTCACACTTTTCGACTATTCTGCCCTTTCCGGTTGATTTGAAAAAGGTGATTAAATTTGGGGATCTTGATCAAAAGTTAAATATTCCAGGAGTATTGTCAGAAGCACAAATTCCACAGACACCAAACGAATTCAAGCCCACTCTTGGTTAAAGAGATTTTCAGACTGCTTTGGACTTAATGACATTCAATCACAAATGTGCACTCTAAGGTGAGGTGGTTGCCCATGTAAAAATTCGACTGCCATAACCGAGTATCACTTGGGAGAAGTTAGAGAGCCGAGCAGGAACTCGGAAAGCCAGAAACCCACATAAACTATAAAGCTTAATTCAAATACCTATGAGCACTCCTGAGATGCACATTGTTGGTGCTTTCTGACACAAAGTACACAACTGCAAATGAATTTTCCGACATTCGCCGTGGTTAGATGTCACTTGCACAAATGAGTCCGGATGAAACTCCGTAAAAACTTGAAGGGAAATTAAACTGCCCTACTTACTACTTACTATTCTGCCCAGTGGGGTGCCAATTGTTACAAAGTTTAGATCGATAGCTGAACCATCGCTTTCATTCCTTTCAGTTTCAAGACAAAAGATACTGACAAGAATATGAGAGCAACAAAATTGGCTAGCTACAAGACATTTGCCGCAAATCCCGTTCTGATCAATGTTTCAACTTCACCGTTAACAACAATACATCATTCGTAAATTTAGTGCTTAGCTGCCTTACGGTCTTAAGGGAAACAAACCACGGTAACGGATGGGAAAAATGGGAGGAGTTGGAACTTATTTCGAGCAAGTTCTATGCTCTTAAGAAAAACTACAAAGAGCAAGACGCCCACAACGTTGCACAGTACAGCTGAAGCAAATCTGCGCGTCACGTCAAACCGACGCACCATCAGCTGCATTTAACCAACATCCCTCTTGAGCTTCACCCAACAAGAGCCCAGCGCACAACTGTAGGCAGACTTCCTTTTTTGCAGTGTGACTAGGACAAAAAAGCATAAGTGCCACTGGAATTGATGACATGACATGCCGTGCGAGACTTCCTACCACGTGCAAGCGGCGT